CAAACCCACCAGCCACTCCTCAGAAGGAAGATGGGGCAATCTACTTCCATAGTGATACTGCCTCAGAAACCCAAGGAGGGGTCGCTATGAGTCGGGCCCGACTCGAGGGCACATAACAACAACAACAGCAACATAATAATAATAATAATAATAATAAACTCACTGCCATTGAATCAGTTCCAACTCATAGTGACCGCCTTTGGGTTTCTGCAGTAATAAATCTTTACAGAAGTAGATTTCCCAGTATTCCTTCTGTGGAGTGGCTGGTGGGTTTGAACTGCCAACCTTCCAGTTAGCAGTCAAATGCTTTAGGCACTATGCCACTAGAGCTCCTTCGGCATCTATAATAAAACAAAACTCACTGCCGTGGAGTTGACTCTGACTCATAGTGACCGTCCTTGGGTTTCCGAGGAAGTATCTAAGAAGTATTTGTCTACAGGCTCTCTTCCACAACTCCTCTCTTCAAATAGCTATAGTAAATGGAGAAAAGTCTGGAAGAGGCAATGGAAGTTTCTGGTTCAGATATTGGTTATATGACTCCTACTTACACTAAATGGCTGAAACCTGTCACAAAGTTCCATCAAATAAAAGGGGTCAAGAAGTAAAATCCCACTTGGTAGAGAGCCAGAAATACCTGATAAAGAGCAACAATGATGTTCACCTTCACATAACAAATAACAAAAAGTAAATATATGAATAAGGTCTTTAGAATACAAATTCTCCTTTCATTTATTAACAATTTAACTTACTTGATAATGCATTCTTAAAAAGAGAATCTCTTTTCATTATATAGGTTTTCCCATATTTTTTAAAAAATATCCTTATTTTCTTTTGATATTTAATTAACACAGACTTTATAAAAGGTTATGTAGGAAGACAGTCCATCTTTTTCCATAATCTCTGATAATTCTAAAACCACTAAAATTATCTGTAAAGATAGACAATGCATTCATGCATCTTTCAGTTCCCCTCAAGAAAGAAATCTGTGGCTGCCTGGTCGATTCCAACTCATGGAGTCTCTGTGTATGTCTTTGCCTATGCTCAAGCTTTGTTGTTGTTAGGTGTCATCAAATTGGCTCTGATTCATGGTGACCCTACGTACAACAACAACAAAAAACACTGTCTGGTCCTGGGCCAGCCTCACAATCCTTGTTATACCTGATCCCATCACTGCAGTCACTGTGTCAATCCACCTCATGGAGGGCCTTCCCCTTTATCATTGAACCTCCCCTTTATCAAGCATGATATCCTTCTCCAGGGAATAGTCCCTTCTGACATGACCAAAGTAGGTGAAATAAAGCCTGGCCATTCTCACTTCCAAGAACCTTTCTGGCTGCCCCTCTTTCAGGACAGAATTCTTAGTTCTGGCAGTACATCAAAGTTTCAGCACTCTTCACCAACACCACAACTCAAAGGTATCAACTCTTCTTTGGTCTTCCTTATTCATTGTACAGCTCTCACATGCATACAAGGTGACTGAAAATACCATGGCTTGGGTTAGTTGCACCTTAATCTTCAAAGAGACATCTTTGCTCTTCAGTACTTGAAAGAGGGCTTTTGCAACAAATTTTCCCAGTGCTATATGTTTTCTGAGATCTTGACTGTTGCTTCCATTGTTGTTGATTGTGGAACTAAATAATATGAAATCTTTGACAACTTCAATCTTTTCTCCATTTATCATGATTCTTCTTATTGGTCCAGTTGTGAGGATTTTTGTTTTCTTTATGTTGAGATGTAATCCGTACTGTAGACTGTAGTCTTTAATCTTCATCAGTAAGTGTTTCAAGACAACTTAACTTTCAGGAAGCAAAGTTGTGTTGTCTGCATATCGTACATTGTTAATGAGTCTTCCTTAACTTCTGATGCTTCTTTCTTTTTCATATAGTCCAGCTTCTTGGATTCTTTGCTCAGCATACAGATTGAATAAGTATGTTGAAATGATACAACCCTGATACACTCCCTTCCTGACTTTAAACCATGCAGTATCCCCTTGTTCTGTTCAAATGACAGCCTCCTGGTCTATGTATAGGTTCCTCATGAGCACAATCAAGTGTTCTGAAATTTCTGTCCGTCTCAATGCTATCCATAATTTGTTATGATCCACACAATCAAATGCCTTTGCATAGTCAATAAAACACAAGTTAACATCTTTCTGGTATTCTTTGCTTTAAGCCAAGATCCATCTGACATCAGCAATGATATCCCTTGCTCCACATCCTCTTCTGAATCCAGTTTGCATTTCT